GCATGCTTTTGAACTGCTAGGTGGGCAGGAGCTGGGGCAAGTAATGGGAGCTCATCCCATTGTGTAGCACTTGGGTCTCAAACCTGGGCTGTCAGCTTTCCAGCTGACAAGCTCAGCATGTTTAACCACTGAGTGATCATATCTCCTGAAATTTTAAATTCATCATAAGTACATGAATTTGATATGGTAGCTATATCAATGCCAAAATAAAAATATAATCCCTTGACTTTTGATGTATTTTCAATTTTAAAAACTTTTACCTGTTCTTGGACATTAAAAACAAATATCAAGTTCAGGATATATAGTGGGAACACACTCTGTATTCTTAACTTGAAATATTATCTATTAACACTAATGCATATCTAGCATTTTTTTTTTCCTTTCTGGTAGATAAAATATTCCTGGGCATCCTCTACCTCCTCCAAGTTTACTGACAGTCTTCAAAACTGAAGTGAAATTATAACAAGCATATATTGTGTTCCTTTAAAAATGATGGGTGGGCTCTGAATATATGTTCCCAATGCCTTAGTGACACAGAAAAGTATTTTTAAAGCAGAAAGGTGGCATAATGTGTAAAAGATGAAATTATGTTGTTAGTTAATTCATTGCATGCCTGATGACACTTCCATGGTAACTCCAAAATGTGCTATTAATAAGTACAGTGAATTCTTCCCATCTTTCAAATAATTCTTGAAAAGTTTTCATAATTCCCGTTTTAAAAAGGCAAAGCCTGAAGCCTTGGAGTGTGATTTCTTTTGGCCATCAGGTAAGTTACCTGAGTGTACAGGATCTAAACCAAGATGCTGTCCTTCTACCCTTTATCCAATAATCCACGTGGGTTTTCAATTTAGGGGGGAAAAAGTCAAAAACTAGATATTCAACGCTACTTACTGACTGCGTAACATTTCGAGCAAGCATTAGCTTGTCTTCGCAACTCAGGCTGTCCCGCTGAACTCTGTTTGCAATTTGCTGCAGCATGTCTAACCTAAAGACATCAAAGTTAAGACAAGTTCCATAAGGCTGATAATACCTTTTCCCATACAAGAAAGCAATTATTTAACTCTTACCAAATAAAACTGAAACCTAATCTGCCACGTAACATGAAAACTTACCTGGATCCTTCCATTGGACCATTGCCGAAGCTTATGCACGAATTGACGAGGGTTGGACCACAGTTAACAGATACGAAGTTTTCATTAGAATCAATGCTAGTTCGGGTACTAGTGCTATTACTAAAAGAGTCGCTACTCTGGTAGCCATAACTGTTAGCATTCATTTTTCATAGTCAAAAAGCTCCTTGGTGGTTTGAAAACTGGAAAAAAAAGCAGAATGCCTGC